GTATTACTATACTAAGCCTAACTTAGGAAGCATTTTAAGAGTACTGGTTATCACTAAGCACGATAGTGCTTGGTATGTGGGAATGAGCCGAGAAAATAATGGCCACTGCATTCAGACTATTACTCTATGGTGCTTACAAATATATAGTTGGGCTAATGTAGTTGTATCACCTTCCGCTACTGTATGGATATCTTTAGAACCATTGAAGCTCCGGATAGTAGCATGGAAAAGTGGAGGATGGGAACTGTACTAACAATTTTTTGGGCTTCCCTCTCCAAACAGTAACGTACTAACAAATGCCGTACAAAGTATTATATATTCAGAGCTCCTTAGGTATTGTAAAATTTATAGCAATCGACAGTTCTTAATATGTAATACTAATATATTATTACACAAACTGATTTTAATGGCGTTGATGAGAAAAATTTAACTAAATATTTTAAAGTATCACTGAGCTTAGTATGTAGGGATGGGTTGAGAAAAAAATAGATGCCGCATTCACTCTATTACTCTATGATGCTTACAAATAACTGCTAAAGTTGGGTTATAGCCTTATTTGAGCATCTAATTACTATTATCGAGTGTTTCGCAGCTTGTGGGGCACTCAATGTAATTGAAAAGTGTTGTTAAGTGGAGAACTGGGAAATAGCTAAAGATCCAAAGTGTTCATCTTTTTTTTTTCTTCCTCCATGCTATCCAGAAAACGAGTGAATTTTTGCAATGGCTCTAGTACGACAGAGCTGATAGATCTATTAATAAAAATAGAAAACAAACCTGTAATATTAATAATATTAAAAACATATTCAGTTTTTGCGTATATAATAATTATATTCATTTTGATAAGCACATTTATAAAGAAATATAGGTATACCAATGGGTTCTAATTATTCAAGTTGTGTTGCTAATTGATATCTTTATTATTATAACAATAAATTTATAAATAATTTTCCAAATCCGGGATTATTTTCCTTAACATTCGATATTTTGCCAATTTAATTAATATTAATATTCCAATAATAAGTAAATATATCGGTAACATTTATCCTACAGTTCTACAGATTGAAAATACTGAAGCTCATTATTTAGATGTATTTATCAAGATAATTAATATTTATAGAAATATTAATATTTATGATAAAAGAAATGATTTCATCTTGAAATTTTCTATAATTTATTTTTGACTTTTTGTTACTATTCTGTATTTAGCACCTTTTCCCCATGATTTTCCCTAAACAATGATCTTTTATTATATCGAAATTTCCAGCAATAACATGTTTATGAAAATAATCTTCCAAAGAATTTGAATAGTAATCACATTGTGAATTCTGCACATTATCTATATCTAAATCATTTTTAAAATCTTTATAATTATATATTACTGGTCCTATTGGAATCTCTTATTTAAAAATAATAATATGTATTAAATAATCTAAAAAGAAAAATTTGAGAAATTTGCAAATCATTAACAATTTTGGGTTTAAAATCAATTACTGTATATTAAAATTTGCTTATTGATAATTCTTTAATTATATCATTTAAATTATTTACCTTAATCCTAAACTTTATAATCTCGGAAATTAAATGTTTAGCATGATAATTTTGAAAATTAAATGTCATTACCGTTTTTGCTAACATTTTTAATTCCAAATGTTTAATTTATATATCTTCTTGTAGAAATAACTACGAATGTTAGGAAAGATATAAAACTTACTGTCTAAATCCTTACAAAAATTAATACAATTAATCCATTTCATTCAATTTTTACCTTTTTCTCTATTTTTTATTTGTGTATATTTCTTGTTAATATTACCGAAACAAAAGAAATCACCAATACATTTGTTATTACTTAAATTAATCTCAGTAGTACCATTATAATCTTGATTCAAACCATAAAAATATAAATGTTCGTATTCAAGAATGTAAAAATTTTCTTTTGTAATCTGTTTCTTTCTATATTATTGATTTCTAGAATTGTAATCACTATTGAGGCAAAAGGATGAATTCTAAAATGTTTTAATTCAACCGAATTTACTACATTATTTATATTTTGAGATCTATGCGGATTCATGCGAATATGTAGAAGATTAGACGTTTGTCCCACATATTGCGCACACCACATGTTAAATTAATAAATAAGTTATGTTTCTTACTATAAAAAAGGAAAAGTTATTAATAATAACGGATGAAAAGAACCAAGAGAAGGACATGCGCTTACTACCACATTTTATAACAGACGAAAAAAACTAATAAACAGCTAGTTAGGTTGAATATAGTTGACACATGATGGATAGTTTGTGCTCATAAGTTATACAAAAATATAATAAAGAATAAAATACAGCAACACACAACATTTATTATTAATGCTAATTATTTAAAAAAGCTACAAAACAGATTACATCACAAAGAAGAATAACGTGCGTTTATCACAGCATATCCAGACCTTAGATGAAAAACACAACCACAAAAAAATAACACCCAACAGCGGGGCACAAATCATAAGGTGGGTCATTATGTTGTAATGTGGCCTGGTTTTTTTGAGGTACCGTCGGAAATAAGACCCAAATTAAGTTGGGGTGCACCGTCTATCCAGGTTTACCCAACCTTCCCCGTCCTGGGGACTTGAATGCTAACTTCAAGGACAGTTTCGCTGTCTCCCACCGTGGATTTATTGTATTCTAGATATTTATTTCTTATTATTAGTTTATCTTATTTGTTTATTTTATTTTTTTGTGAGCAACCACCTCCCACATCTGGCAGCAGACAGCGAAAGGTGGTAAAGATGTGGGACGTTGTGGGCTAAAGCACCCACATTTGGTCCTTTTAATTTTTTTCTCTCTCTTTTAAGTATGAGAAGCTGGCAAAGTTGACGTCAAGCTGGATAGATGGTGTACCCCCAACGTAATTTGGGTCTTATTTCAGCCAGCACCTAAAAAAAACCAGGGCACATTATATAATGACCCACTCTGTGATTTGTGCCCCTGTATTGAATGTTTTTTCTTGTGTGTGGTTGTTGTTTGTTTTTCTTTTTTACGTAAAATTATATTTAATTATATTTCATCTAAGGTTTGATATGCTGTGTAAAATTCACACTATCCTACTTTTTTGATGTAAAGTGTTATACAAATGCCCCCCAGTAACACAGCCGTATGTCTACAGATTTACAACGATAGAAACCGGGTTTCAATACTTCTAGTGGGCAGAGCACATATAGTCCATCGTGTAGTTTTGTGCTCAACTGCAAATAAACAAAAGTTCTATACAAGTTTTTTGTAGCTTTCTTAAATAATTATATATATATATATATACAAGTCATACATACATTATTCCAGATTTTCTATTAAATATTATTCTATTTAATTATAAGAAAACGGCAAGGGTAAAAAACGAAGCGCAGACTTGACAATAACAAGCCAAGGGTATAAAACGAAGCGCAGACTTGACAATAACAAGCCAAGGGTTAAAAAACGAAGCGCAGACTTGACAATAACAAGGCAAATGTTAAAAACGAAGCGCAGACTTGACAATAACAAGGCAAGGGTTAAAAAAGAAGCGCAGACTTGACAATAACTGGGCAAGAGTTAAAAAACGAAGAGAAAACGTGAGAATAACAAGGCAAGTGTTAAAAACGAAGCGCAGACTTGACAATAACAAGGCAAATGTTAAAAAGAAGCTAATGAGCAGAAAACAACAAAAATTAAAAAGAAGAAGCTAATTACTAAAAAATACAGCAATAGTTAAAAAGACAAAGCATTGAGTTAATAAGAAAACAATTAAAGTTAAAAGGAAAGTAATGACTAGAAAAACAGCAAGAGTTAAAAAGAAGATAACGACAAGAAATCTCAGCAAGAGTTAAAAAGAATTACAGACTTGATAAATTACGTGAGTGTAAGTAAGAACTTTTAACGGATATAAAAATAATATCTAGAGCCATCTTTTTTATTTGTAATAAGTTTACACCTTATTCAATAAGCTAAAAAACACCAGTAAGCTATAAATGATAAGTATACGTCTTTCAAAGCGATATATATTCCCCAAATTATTTTAGATTACATGCATATCAACGTTTTGAAAAGTATGCGACACATTGAAATATAAAGAAAGATTTTGTAATCTTGAAACACTATGAGTGAAATGAAACAAGGAGTTTGTTCGACGGCTTAGTTATTTGTGTCGTGGAACAACACATGCTGTTGTTTTTCTAAAGAGTTGCAGAAGAATAAAAAAGTGATAAAACTAATAATCAGGATTAAATTGTACTATAGCTCCTGAGGTGGAAGAAAACATTTTTTAAAAGTTAAGGAGTGTATAATATATTAAACCTATTTTGGTGTCGGTCTACTTCATGTACTGATGTGCACGTTACTCAACGTGGTGTAGGTGACAACCAATCATGTAACGCCTTCAGCCACTCTCGTATGAAATATCGAATAAGTATCATCTTGTTCTCGTGAATGACTTGCAAGTCATTGTATCATGTCAATATATTTTTGGCTTTTAGAATTAATTTTTTGTAGTATTTGTTCGTTTGTAGTTAAGCGCAAAGCAACACAATTGGCTATTTTTATTGTACCCACCACGAGTATCGAAACCTAGGTTTTAGCGTTATAAGCTTTCAGTCTTGCTGCTGATCCATTGGGGCTTCTGTAATAATTTGGTTACTTAAGTTAATTCTCGATTGAAACACCATAACATAAGTGGTAATGTATACATTTTTAAGTTTGCTGAAATTTTGGATTTAGACTGCCTGATGATTTATAATTTCGTTTGGAAGTAGATAAGCGGCAGTGTAGAAAAGAAAATTATATTACATTTTCTGCAGTTTACGTATCTAATTAACGCACCATCTAAACATGTCTTGGGGTGAACTTGCTTATTTAACACTGATATATGTATCTGTCAGAAAGATCAGAGAGAGATCGAAGTCGTAAAAGAGCTAGATCCCCCTCCATCCTTTCCCCAACAAGCGGGTTTCGAATGGTTTCTGTGGAGTCGATCAATACGTCGAAAACCTCCGTTTCCGTTCCGCTTTTCGTGGTGCCCGTGATCAACTGGAAACCATCTCGTGTTTAAGATTTTCTTTAGGTGCTTTGCGAATATCACTCAGTGAGTAAAATAGGCTTAACTGTACTCACCCGAGAATCCTTCCACCTAGAATTCAAACTGAATACACGTGACGAAGAAGAAGATTCCTGCATTAACCTACAGGTCAGCAAAATGTCTGGCAAGCCAAGAGACGTACGCGATGACGGCAAGCCGACCGGGGATGGTGCTCCCGTTGGCGGTAAGTGGACTCATCCTTCTCTTACAGTATAAACAATGGCAATGGTATACTAGTGATATTAGTTATGTTTAGTAAGTAACTCGGAGATAAGGCCAAGTTGAGTTGTGAACTTTTAAAAGTACTGCCAAACTGAAAGCAAGATAGATTTCTGGCCCACACGTTCCGCTGCGGATGTATTTATCTCCAGTGATACATTGTAAGCCATCACAAAGCATTCTTAGATGGTGGCTTTATTAAGAGGCCATCAGGTGGCTAATGTGTGTTGATTGATTCATGGATACATAGAAATATAAAAAATAAGAAAAATATTAGACTTTTTAAACTTGACGATCAATATTTCAGTGATTAAGTTCAACATAAAACACTTCGTTACAGTAGTTTTACCTTTGTAGGTACGACATATATTTATTTAAACGTTTAAATTACGTATACAGAGACGTTCTGGGTTATTAAAATTTTTAATGTTAATGTGATCATGGTCGGAAAGCATTCATACTAGACATTCCTGTTGCACCCGTTCCAAAATGTTACTTCATAATTGCACAAACATTTTTTTGTAGTATAATGCACATAAGTGTTGCAATTAAATCTCTGTGACTGAATAAAAGGTTAAGTAGTAACGATTTTCAGCGTAATAGTAGAATTGTTTGTTTGTTTGTAGTTTAAGCACAAAGCTATACAATGGGCTATCTGTGCTCTGCCCACCACGAGTATCGAAACCCAGACATTCGGCTGTGCCACTGGGGAGATAATAGTAGAAATACGATTAAAAACTTGAATGAAAGCTTTGAGAAACCGGTGAGAATGTCAGACATAAAAGTTTTTAAAATCTAGATAAATGATCTCGATAAAGTAGTACAAAAATTGATAAACATTTCGGATACAAGATATGTCAGTTACAGTCTTGACGAACGCTTTGGATATAACAGTTTAACAGCTGGAATCCTGGTAAACGTATCAGATGTAACAGTTTGACAGTTTGTAGCTCTGGCGAACATTTCGGATATAACTGTATGACAGTTGGATAAACGTTCGTATTATAACAGCTAAAATTCTGATAAGCGTTCTCGACGTAATAGCTATAAAACTTGCTAAACATTTCTCGACCTACACACACATAAGAAGAAAGATCCAATAAAAACACTTATAATGTGAGAATATTTATTGTTTTTCAAAGATACAAGACTGCACTGGAAACATAAATCAGACTGTAAATAGTGTCTTCAAAACACTATCATAATGTTCATCATATTATGTTACTACCACACGAATATCTATCAGTACAACAGTGTTTTAGTTTCAAAATTAAGAACATAAGGGAATGCACCCGTTTATGTTTCACATTAGTAAATCATATATCGAAGGAAAAATTTTATCTATGCGCTTTTTTATTATGCAAGTGCAATGAGGGTCCTGTCGGGGTTTTTATAATAAAAAAAATTGTATTGTTTTGTTGCATGTAACCGAAAGATGTTGATTTAACCATTAGGTATGTATAACAATTATCTCTAGAATTACCGACGGAGACCCCGTTGACTCCTTAATTGTGTGTATGTTTGTTGTTGTTGACTTTCGCGCAAAGCTACTTGTAGGTTATATGCACTAGTCACCCTTAATTTAGAAGTGATAGGCTAGAAGTAAGTCAGCTAGTCAGCGCCACTCATTGCCAACTTTTGGGCTACTTTTTACCAACGATTAGCGGGATTGACTGTCATATTATATTGCCTCCACAGCTGAAAAGGACGAACATTTTCGGTGACCTTTTTTTAATATTGACAGATTTAGATACCCATAATTATGGCAAGAAAGATGAGTAAAGACGATAGACTACTTGTGTGAAAGATAGATATCAGACACGTGTTAACACTGATGGTGGACAGTTCGAACACTTTATTTGAAAAACAACAATGTGTTCAGTTCATGTCTGTAGTTAATAGAAAATGCTTATTTTACGTTATTATCTTTCAATTTTATTTGTATTAATAAAAGTGTGCAATTGTATAGTGACTTTTGCCTCACCCTGTACAGAATGATAATGGTAAATAGTGCAATATTGATTACATTTTTGTTTAAATGTTTTGTTATTGTGTAACTCATATACTATTAGAGGAAACTAACAAAGTCGCGAACCCACCAGTAGCTATGTGCAAAAATAGTTAAACGAAATGTATTTTAAAACCCGGGACCTGGCATGGTCTGGTGGTTAGTGTACTTATTCGCAATTTGCGGGGTCGAATCCCACAACAAATAAGACAATATCGAAACCTTTCTACAACACTAAAGTTATTTAATTATATACAACTGTATAATGACTTCTGTCTCACCGTGTATATTACACTGTTTATTTGTCTGTTAACTGTTAAGCGGAAAGCTACACAATAGCTATCTGTGCTGTGCCCATCACGAGTAACGAAACGCAGTCTTTAGCATTATAACACTTCAGCTTTACCTCTGAGCCACAATGGAGCAATGTATTACTTAGAAAATGAGTTATTTCCATCCAATATTTAGGTCAGTCTCTTATAACAGGCAAAATAAAAACATTACTCAGTATGTTGCAATACGTGGACTTCATCAATAGTGAACGGTATAAAACAAGGGTTAATGTAAACTGAGATATTTCTATTATGTTTTCAAGGAAACTTGGTTATAACCAATTCTAGGTCTCAGTGGCTTTATATACAAGTGATATTAGTTTTGATTTTTGTCCACAGCCGTTGTGATGTTAAAGTTTAAGTGTTTTTATTGCTAATGGAAAACAAATGTGCTTAATCGTAGAATAATTATCTTAAATTCAATCGAAAATATCTATACTCAGGTTTAAGTGTTTGAGCTATTGTTTCAGATTATCTTTAAATAAACTTTATTGAAACATGGTGGAAGCAATTACTTCCCGACATGTATTATTATATTAACATTACTGCCAATATATCGAAATATTATGCAAATAATTACATTATTATGGGAATTCTTAATCAATACACCTACAGTATTTAACATAACTATCAATTTCCTTTCAAAGCATCACTTTAAGATTAAAACAAAATCGATAATGGTTTGACTACATCGGCCAAAAATAGTTATTACAAGCAACAATGGTGTATTTTACTAAAATTTGATGAATAAAATCATCTTAACAGATTTTTATAACATAAAATCAAATTTATAAAAAAAAGGGTTTTTCAAAGATAAGCAAAAGCAAAGTTATAATACCTAAAACTATACATGAGTTAATTACTTTATCTTTAAAAAAAATGCAATGAATTTTTAGGCGTAAGTACAGACATTTACTTGTAACTTATTAGAGCTGTCATTTCATTTTTGAATCATATTTTACAACTTAGTTATCTCGCCGTAGCTTGTCAAGGTCCACTTCATAAATTGTATTACCTTTCTGTCATAAATAAGAAACGTTTATTGCTGTAAGTAATGTTGATCAGAAACTTTACGCGTTCAACAAATGTTTGATGATGAGGACCTCTGGTGTTAATCAGAGTTTTAGGGTTAGAAAGCCATGTTAACGTACAAGTTCACGTTCCGCCATCCATGTGACAGGAAACATGGTAAAAATATTGACTTAGGCTAATCAACTATCTAATATATCTACAATTTAATTCCCACAATACCTTCTGTAATTAGTGATTTAAATCATGTTTGTATCGTTAGGATATTACGTTAGTACAGGTAAAACTCAAGGACACATATGTAGTTTAAAACAATAAACTCTCATGATAAGGCTAGTTGAGAACTTTAGTTTCAAATTTTTACAATATCTCTCATTATAAGACCAGCTTAGATCTATAGTGTCAAAGTACATTATCTCTCATTATAAGACCAGCTTAGATCTATAGTGTCAAAGTACATTATCTCTCATTATAAGACCAGCTTAGATCTATAGTGTTAAAGTACATTATCTCTCATTATAAGACCAGTTTAGATCTATAGTGTCAAAGTACATTATCTCTCATTATAAGACCAGCTTAGATCTATAGTGTCAAAGTACATTATCTCTCATTATAAGACCAGCTTAGATCTATCGTGTCAAAGTACATTATCTCTCATTATAAGACCAGCTTAGATCTATAGTGTCAAAGTACATTATCTCTCATTATAAGACCAGCTTGAATCTATAGTGTACAAAGTACATTATCTATCATTATAAGACCAGCTTAGATCTATAGTGTCAAAGTACATTATCTCTCATTATAAGACCAGCTTGAATCTATAGTGTACAAACGTACATTATCTATCATTA